CCCTCAGACCCTCTCAGACCCCCTCAGACCCGGCCCTCAGATCCCTTCAGACCCCCTCAGACCCGGCCCTTAGACCCCCTCATACCCGGCCCTTAGACCCCCTCATACCCGGCCCTTAGACCCCCTCATTCCCGGCCCTCAGACCCTCTCAGACCCCTCTGACCCCCTCAGACTCTGTCCCTCGGACCCCCCTCAGACCCCGGCCCACGGACCCCCTCAAGACCCCCTCAGACTCCGTCCCTCAGACCCCCCTCAGGCCCCCTCAGACCCCGGCCCTCGGACCCCCTCAAGACCCCCTCAGACCCTGGCCCTCGGACCCCGGCCCTCGGAGCCCCTCAGACCCCAGCCCTCTGCCTCCCGCACCTCGACCCTCAGCAAACTTGGGAGGCTTTGTCGTGGCACACCCTGGCCAACATGAGGCTTGGAGTTCAATCCCCTGCACTGCCAAATATGTCGTATATGGGGGAGGGGGAACGGGGCTGGGACACCACCAGCCTTGGAGCTGCACTGCTGGACTTCTCACAGATGCACCCACCCAGCAGTGACCGCCTGACGCTTGGTGCTTCCACGGCCAGAGGAACACTTTTAATTTTGTAATCTACCCTATTTTTTCCTCATGGTAATTTTTGTGTGAAATTATATCATTATATAACCACCTATTATATTCAAATGAGTTCCAGAGCCAGGTAAGGATTTCAGTGGAATGTACTCTACCCAATTTCTCCGAGTCAGAAACACCCATGAACATGGGAGCCAGGGAGCCATCACCCTGAGCATGTCCCCAGCCTGGACAGGAGCTAACCAGGGCATCCTGCACACAGAACCAGAGGGAGAAGGGAATTGGGGGCACAGCGTTCACCTCACTTGGGGGAGACCCTGGAGTCCATCCCTAGCACCCCCCACAAAAAAAGAACAGAAAAAGGAAAGGAACCCCCAGGTTCTTCACAGTTTTGCTTTAAGTTCTTGATGCAAAGAATCTAAGTCTGCTTTCCTAGCAGCCAAACTCAAACACAAAAACAAGAGTTCTCTAATATTAGTGGTTTAGCTGTAGGATGTAATGACACCTGACCAGGAGGCAAGCTGTTCCCAGTCATCTGGGAGATCATTGCCTAAAAGGCAGTGAGCAACAGTGGATAGTCTCCTCCACACTAAAACATAAATGTGTGTGCATGTATGTGTATGTATGCATATATACGTACATATATTTGTGTGTATGTATATACATACTTCTGCACACCTAAGTGCTGGGCTGTGGACAGGTCCTTAACCCTACAGATCAGCCTCTATAATGGCTGCAAGCGCGGGCAGGTCTCTGTCTCTGGAGAGCGTGCACAGATGGGTGTGTTGCACACACAGATGGGGATGTGTTGCATGCGTGGATGGGGTATTGCACGCACAGATGGCTGTGTTTCTGTCTTCCAGGAGAAGACCGACGTGGAAGGAACGCTGTTTGTGTACACAAGGTAAGACTGGTTTCCTCTCAGAATGGGCTGGTTTGGTTTTGTTGTCACGTGTCTCCAAGTGCAGCCTTGTTACAAAGAGAAATAACACAGAGGAATTCTGGTTTGAAGCTTAGTTGGCAGCAGGAAGGGGCCACCACGTGACCCTGGCTGTGAGTCCTCATGGTGCTCACAGAGGCTGTGGACTGTTGTTCTGTGGCTTGGGTCAGTGCACACCGTTCTTGGAGCGCAGGCCGGGCGGGGCTAGATCCCCCTTGGTGTTATCTGGAAAGAGCTTCACCAGCCCCCTTTCCCACCCAACTGCTCAGACAAGCACCATCCACAACTGAAGAGCTCTGCTCAGAGCCCGGGACTGACCGAGCTGTCCCCTCTGCGGGCACACACGACACACTCAGCTGTGGGGCTCACAGTGCCCAGCAGCAGTAAACACCAGATCCTCAGCCTGTCCTCGGCCTGTCCTGCACTCCAAGCCCAGAGCCTCAACACAATTGCCTCCGTGCACGCTGCTGGTCCTGGTCTGGCCTCCCTGTCATATCCACCCCAGTGTGGCCATCCTGGTGTCACGCCCCTCCCCAGCGGCCCGGCACCCATGCTTCCTCCTCTTGTCAGCACCTTGCCCACCCTGTGCCCGTTACAAGTCCAGCCCGAGCCCCTCCCAGGGTTTCATTCACACGTGAACCGCAGTGCAGGATACACCACCACAAGGGACCCGAGGTGACAAGGTAGGCTTGGCACTAGGTGGTCACAGAGGGACAGTGCCTGGCCACCATGGGGTCAGCGTCAAGGGGACACCCTGGCGAGGACCTGTGCCTGCCTGGTTCACCCAGCGGCAGGTGAGGCCGCGTGCAGTGGGGTGGGCTCAGCGCGCTCACCTGCGGTGAGCGCTGCATTCCGGGCACAGGCGGGGCATTCCCTTGCCACTAGCCGTCCCCAGGCGCCTTGCCGCATGGCTGTTACCAGGCAGACCCAGCCCGAGCCCGCGCCCCCGCCAGCAGCACTGTGCTGTGTCACTCGGGTGCTTTCCACTTAGCGCGAAAGCAGCCGAGATGTATTGAATGAAATGAACAACAACAAAAAAAAAATACCAAGTGCCACATTTTTATTGAGAGCAATCTTTATAATAGTGTATCCATGAAGCTGTTGCTTTATATGGAAGAAAAAGAACACGCATTCCCTCACATAAACTTCATTTATGGTCTGTCTCACAACTGCATTGACCACCATTCAACTTTATAATTCGTTTCAGGCAATATTTAACGTTTTCTGTGGAAATTTCTTTGTATAATTTTGATGTATGCTCTGTGAAGTACCAAGATCCTCTAAAACTATGTTAGAAAGATTTTAAGAAATAATTACCAGCCAGATGCTGGTGGCTCACATCTGTAATCCCAGCTACCCAAGATCTGAGGATCATGGTTTGAAGCCAGCCCAAGCAGGAAAGTCCTTGAAACTGTTATTACCAGTTAACTACCTGAAAACCAGAAGTAGAACTGTGGCTTAAGTGATAGAGCACCAGCCTTGAGCAAAAAAGCTCAGAGACAGCACCCAGACCATGAGATCAAGCCTCACAACTGAAAAAGAAAATAGTTACTGCCTTAAAGGAATTTACCAATAGGGACACAAAGACACACACACACACACACACACACACACACACACAGGAGCTATTTTGCCCAGGACAACCTGTCACTCAGGTGGTGATACATATGATGTGTGTGTATGTAATGGTGCTCACTGCAGAAATGCTGCTTTACATGAGTGCAGTCTGCATGTGTGAATCTGTATACACACCTGAAGTTGTGTGTGAAACAGTACACACAAGGTTAGCATGTGCAGCCTGTATTTGAAGCTACACGCAAAAGGTTACTTGTGTGCAGTCTGCATGTGTGGGACTGTTTGCGTAGAATGTTATGTGTGCAGTCCATGTACATGGGCCCATATGCACAGATGTGTGCAGTCTGTGAAGGACCATATGTGCAGAAAGTCGCATGCCATCCACATGTGTGTGTGCACAGCAGGTGGAGGAGGCCCGATGCACTAAGCGCTGTCCTTACCCTTTGTGATCTCCAGGTCGGCGTCTCCCAAGTATGGGTTTACCATCATGAACAGGCTGAGCATGGAGAACAGGACGGAGCCCATCACTAAAGACTTGGACCTCCAGCTCCAGGACCCCTTCCTCCTCTACAGAAATGCCAGATGTGAGTTTTGCACTGCGTGCTGTGGTATTACTTCTGAGGTTCGGCTGCGTGTCTGTCTTTGCATTCCTGCTTAGGGCTCAGCGTTCGCTAGTTTGGGAATGTTTAGCTCTGAGTGCAAGGCTGCCGTGCCCTATGGCAGAGGCAGGAGCGTGGTCAGGATGCTGTGGACGCCTGGTTGGCAGCACCTTTCCCTCAGTCCCTATGACCAGGCACACAGATAAAGTGGGAGAGCCCGTACTCGAGAGATGCTGTCTGTGAATTCCTGATACATACAAAATCCAAGTCCACAGGGTTTCAGCCTGTGGTCATATTGGAGTCACAGGAGCTAAGCACATAGTCTGGTTATATGTGAGGTGCAGAGGCACACGAATCTCCCGTCCTTGCTCCTCCAGCCTGACCACCTGTGTCGGGCCAGAGAGAGATTGATGCACCGCCTGCGTTCAGGGGCTCCGTATAGAACGGGAGGAGCACTATCCAGTACGTACGTGTGTGTGTGTGCGTGCGTGCATGCGTGCGTGCACGGGTAAAATAGTGTAGCCTCACTTAGAATCAAGTCGTCCTGGTGCATGGGTTGCTCTCACGTTCAGAGAATACAGGTTGGGTTTTATAGGAGGAAATGGAAGCCATTCAGGTGAACTCTGGCTTTCCAGGGATCCTGGGGAGGGTGGGGCAGGCAGGCAGGCAACACAGGACCATGTAAAGCGCAATGTGGGGAAGGGTGATAGTGGGAGAACGGTGCACACAGCCATGCGGAGAGCGAGAGACGGCTGGCTCCCGCCATCCGAGTGCTTTCCCTCGCAGGTGTCACTGATGAGGTACAGAACGCAGTCTGAGTTGTTTGTGTTATAGTGCATCAGGTTTTATTTTCCTTTACGGACTGTCTGCTTCTGAGCTGAGTCACTACCTAATTCAGATCTTAAGTAACAAAAACACAGCCCTTGCCACGAGTGTGCGTCCCTGCCGTCTGCATTCGCTTTTATTCCAGGTAGGTGCTTGGACAGGGTGTGGCCGGTGGCCATCTCCGAGCTGCCCGCTGGGTGGGCAGAGCTGTCCCATTTCCCAGAGAAAAAGAACATGGAAAAAAAAAAAAACACCTTGTTAACTTAATTTTCTGTCAATCAGTTGACATGTTAAGATGGTGCTATATTGGGTTAAATAAAATGGGTTCCTAAGCTTGTGCCCGCTGTGTTGTGTTTTGTAAGTTAGGGTTCCGTGTGTGGCTCCCTCCTGGTCCTGCTGAACCTCACTGCTCTGGCTCACGTGCCCAGCGTCCACCCCTGCTGCTCCTTTCCAGGGTAATAGTCACACGTGTGCGTGCAAAAGCCGAGACCCGGCAAGGTGACTGATGGACGGGGCACACACACACCCAGCATGCATCCTCGAGGTCACGGTGCCCTCAGCCAGGACCGCTGCTCCTTCCCTGCTGTGGGCTGTGAAGGAGGGGAGTAGGTGTGTAACACAAGTGTGCAGGCCAGGTGGGTGGCAGACCTCCCTCACCCCCCGCCCCTGGAGACAGCTGCTGTCTCCCACGGTCAGAGAAGAAAGGCTTATTTCAGAAAATCTGGAAACCCAAAAATAAGCCTTTTCCTGAGTAGAAGGATTCACCTTCTGTTTTTCTCCCCATAGTCAGTTTTTAAAGCTGGATGTGGTGGTGCACAGCTGTAATCCTGGCACTAGCGAGGCTGAAACACGAGTATCTCCAGTTCCAGGGCAGCCTGGCGACACAGCGAGGCCCTGTCTCCAAAGAGCCATTTAGATGCCACTTTCTAGCTTCTGACCTGCCAGCCTTTCTCTAAAACATATTGCACAGTAAGCATTGAGCAATGACGGAGCTCAGTTATATTATACAACTTTTAGAAAGTACAAACTTAAAACCTTCATGCTCCATTTGAAAGACAGCAGTAAGAGTCAAATTATCTGCAAACAAGAGTGGGCCAGAATTCGGAAGCCGCATGCACAGCATGGAAGCTGCCTGTGAACCAGAAGGAAACCAGCCGCCTCAGCGGAGTGCAGGCCCCCGCCAGGCACCAGCCGCCCCACCTCCCACCGTGCTCAGTGGCACCAGATGATGGCAGAAAACAAACAGAGCTGGACCTGAAGGAATCTCCCAGTTCTTTACATTCCTCTTAGTGTTACAATATTCTAGGGTCGCATTGGTTCTGGGAGATTACGGCTGTCTTCCTGCTTGTGGCTGTTGACTCGGAAGGCCACCGGGTTACCTAGCTCTCCAAAACGCCATCCTGCCTCTCAGAACGGTGACAAAGCCGGGCCGCGTTACCACCCTGGCTAGCCCCAATTTGTTTTTCAGACCCCTTGTGTGTTTCAGAACACCTAGAAATGTCAAGACAAACTTCTGCCTTGTCAGATTTTAAGACCCTGAGACTTCATCGCCTCTTTTTTTAATCCAAAGCAGGGGGATTTGAACTCAAGGCCTCATATTTTTCCAGACATTTGCTCTGCCGTGAACCATACCTCCAGCCCCTCTTTACCACTTCTTCAGCTTGGTTAGAGAAGGGTTAAAAGAACCCCGTATAAATTTATTATGAAGACAGTGAACTCCACCCACAGGCAGTAATTTTGTTTTACTACTTTGGGCATTGTGGCCCGAGGACGGGCTCCATGGTGGTTCTTAGTGGTTCTTAGTCCTCAGTCCTTAGTTCTGCTCAAACTGCCTCCCACTTGTGGGCCACTCTGCTCCCCAGCCCCACCCTTGGGCCTCGCCACGCTGATATGTCTCCTTGTACATGTACCTGGGGTGTTCCAGATGGTTCTGGGAGGTTATTGGACTCCAGGGGTCAGGGATCATGTTGCACATCATTCTGCAGCCCTCCAAACACTTGACAGTCCCCCCATAGCACACACGGCCCTTTCCCTTCCCGTCTGCCCCTCAGCGTGAAACCCCACAGTCCCTCGAGTCAGGAAGCAAGGACGGCGGCTTCCGGTCCCACCGGGCGGGCAGTGAGGGCTGCCCTCACTAACCTCCAGGACTTTCAGGTCTGGGCTGCTGACAAGAAAGGCAGGAGGCCACCAAAGCTTAAAAGTCACAATGTCACTAGCTCACCTCTCACGTCTCTGAGCCGCCTCTGCCCTTGCCACAGACTTGGACTCTTCGTTACGGCCCCTTGCCCAGAGAGGTGATGTTCTAACAGATGCTGAAGCTGGCCCATCTACCGGACTCGAGTGCTGGACTAGGTGGCCCGACCTCAGACCCAGAGTAGCGCTTCGTTCCCCCTGCCAGTGCCTGTGCGGGCTGACGGGATGCAGACTCCCAGGAGACGATTCTTCTAAGGCACGGGCGTGCTGTGGGGTGCAGAAGGCACAGAACCGTGCAGGTACGAGCTGGGTCGTGACAGCCAGTGGCGCACACGTGGGCACCCGGGAGGCAGCCAGCGCCCCTGCATCACGGGGCGCGCACACACAGTGCCGAAACCAGCTCCCCACGGCCACGGAGCCACAGACTGGCTGAGCACACAACCACGTCCCAGCGCCTCGTGGACTGGGACCCTGCCCTTGAGGCCTAGCCTTGTGTGACTGGGTCCGAGCACCCAGTTTGGCATGGAGGAAGCCTAGAGCTTAGGAAAAAAACAACACTGGATCCCAGAAGATAAACAGTGACCTCGGCACGTGGTCGTCCTGGCTGCTCTGCCTGTTCGTGTGGATTCTTTCACACTTGTTTTTCGAACATAGTTGCAGATAGCCAAGTTCTGGAATGAAAGATGGAATCTGATTCACGTATGTCTGAAGCCACAGAAGGAAAACGTGTCATGTCTCTGCGCCCTTTGGAGTTTGGGGAAAAGGAAAGCAATGTGGGCTAAGGTCAGAACTACTCTGTGTACAGCCTGCGAGCTCTTATTCCATAGCACAAAGCAGAGGGTGTGGCTTACTCGTGCACAGCATCAAGGACAGACAAAGGTCAAAAGGCAAAGCTTGAGAGCCAAGGCCCTGATCGGTAGCCTGGCTGGCCCAGAGCCTCTTGTGAAGGCCCCAGCTCTAACCAGGCTGGTTATTTAGAAGGGGGAGGAGAGCTGTTTTCACCAGCCAGGTTTCTACTCTACCCCCTCCCCCATTCTCATGAGCCTTTAGATGGACACGGCCTCCCCTCTGCCATGAGCCCTAGACCCCGAGATCCTGGCAGCTGCCGACGGGTGAGATCATGGCGCATGAGAAGAACCAGAGCAGGAGCAGAAGATAGCGGCGCTGTGCGTGGCCGCTGAGGCCCGCAGGGAGCTTGTTTTATGAGCCATATCCGTGTTTGGTCAGCAACACGGGCGCCAGAAGTAAGGAAAGAGCCGGCCAGGGCAGACATTCCAAAGGGGGCAGCAGGCGGCCTGCTTCCCGTCACTGGACACCGGGACACCACGGGCTGCCCTGCCTTGCCGCCTCCACGCCGCCACCACTGCCGCCGCCGCCGCCACCTCCTCCTCTCCCTCCTCTCCCCCCTCCCCCCTCCCATGTGCTTCCAGCTTCCCCCCTTCTGCTCGTCCTTCCCTTTTTCCTCCGTCCACAGGAACTTTCGTTTTTAAAAAGGCCAGTTCCAGCCTTTTATACCCCGATGTGTAAGCAAGTGTTAGTGCTGGAGCCCCGGCCAGCCTGGGGGCTATGCCCACCCAGGTGGCATCCAGCCCCCAGCTCCCCTGGCTCCGGGTTCCAGTCCCGTAGCTTTGTGTGTCCCGAGGGGCTTCCACCAAGTGTGCACTGTGCACCCCCCCATCCTCTGCATCACACAGCAGCTCAAGCAGACATGCCACACCTTAAACCAGAAAGCAAGTGTTCACCAAAGATTTTTTTTTCTTTTGCCAGTCCTGGGGCTTGAACTCAGGGCCTGGGCACTGTCCCTGAGCTTCTTTTGCTCCAGGCTAGCACTCTACCACTTGAGCCACAGCGCCACTTCTGGCTTTTTCTGTGTACGTGGTACTGAGGAATGGAACCCAGGGTTTCATGCATGCGAGGCGAGCGCTCTACCACTGAGCACCTTCCCAGCCCACATGTTCACCAAAGCCACACTCGACTGCACCTCCTCCTGGTGCAGTCTTCCTGGGAGGAGTGGGTTGGAAGACAGATGCTCAGATTTATCCTCAGATGCCCAGGAGAGACGTGTGTGACTTCCTGCCGCGCTCCCAGCTTTCCAGCAGGAACAGAGCTGACGGCACAGGAAAAACACATCCCCTCATCTTTTTGTCAGGAAGAAGGAAAGGGAGAAGAAGAAAGGAAATGAGGAAGGGGGAGAGGGAGGAGCGAGGGCAAGGCCAGGCCTCCCTAAGTTGGATGCCCTGCCCACTTAGCGCTCTTCCTTAGGTCAGGTGTGGATTTGTCCCCTCTGGTCTGGGCTCTCATGCAGTGATCACAAGCTATTGTCCATTACTTAGTGTGAGACATCGACGACAAATGCTATTGATAGAAATAGCTTACTAGAAATAGCTATGGCCAGCACAGGTGGCAGGGGGCAATTCCCTCGCAGACATCCACGCCACGCATGCCCCCGCCCCCGCCCGTGTGAACCAGAGCCACCGTCCCAGAGAAAACCATGCGCGCACACAACGGTCGATGTCGGCTTGGTGACCTCTTCAGATTTATCAACTTGCAGTGTTTCCACTGGGGGGAAAATCCTCAAACAGAAAATGCCATTGTTGAAAATAATCTGCTGTCTGTGTGTGTGAATGTGCGTCTCTGTCTTTCTCTCTGCCTGCCTGTGTCTGTGTGTGTGAGAGTCTGCCTGCCTGCCTATGTCTGTTTTTCTGTGTATTTGTGAGTCTGTGTCTGTCTGTCTGTTTTTCTGTGTCTGTGTGAGTCTTTCTCTGCCTGCCTGTGTCTGTCTTTCTGTCTATGTATGTGTAAATCTCTTCCTCTTTCTTGCCTGTGTCTGCCTGTGGGTGTGTGTGTCTCTCTGTCTTCCTGCCTCTGTCTTTCTGTCTTTCTGTCTGTGTATGTGTGAGTCTCTTCCTCTCTGCCTGCCTGTGTCTGTCTTTCTGTCTGTGTGTATGTGTGAGTCCCTCTCCCCCACCCCTCTCTCTTCCTGCCTGCCTGTCTCTCTTGCCTAATGCCTGAAGCATTGCTTTTTTCCCACTGAGAATTTTTCAAGAATGGCCTCAGGCCCTGTTGGATTTTACAGCTGTGCTCTTAGGGATCCCGCTCAAACACAGTGAAGGCTGACAGTCCAGCGTTCGTGTGTCGTTGTCGCCCCCCACCCCGCCGCCCCGTCTCTCCCCTCGGGCCCCTTACCTCCAGGAGAGACGTAGACGCAGCGGAGCGGAGCCTCGTGCACCAGTGTGCCCTTGAAGCTGGCCCCCGAGTCCACGGAGGGCTCACTGGACAGTGGCCGGTAGGCAGGCGTGCTGGGCTGCACCAGGGCTTGGAACATTGCGAGTTCCTGCTAACTTCACTTTAAAAGAAAAAACCACGGTGGCCTTTTCGCCTTGTGATTTTTTTTTTTTTTTTGAGATTCAGTAAAAACACTGGGCACAACATCTCAGAGCCAGAGCGCTTGTACAAGCCCCATCCCTTCTGAGTCCTAGAACTCTGAAGGCAGCCTTCTTGGGGAGGGGCGGGAGCTGCGTCCCTGGGCCCCCAAGGCTTTGCAGGGAGCCCTGGGTTCAAATGTGGAGTCAGCGGCCCCTGTCAGCCCAGCAGCCCAACACCTCCTGCAGCTCTGGTCTTTGTCCATCACCACGCCACTTGGCTGGACAGGCCCAGGGCTGCTGGGGGCTGGTGGGCCGAGCGCAGAACACGTCACATGGAACACGCCCTCGGCCTCACCAGAGCCCATGGCCCCCAGGGGTGGGACTGAGGCAGGGAGAAGAAGCAGGCAGCCCTTTGTCGCTGTTCAGCCTTCTGATTCCCAGACCAAATGGTCAGTGGTTCTCCATCCCTCTTCCCCAAAAAAGTCCCCGGGTCTCTAAACTTCAGTGTCCAACCTAAACATGAACTGGGTGAGAAGACTTCAGAGCAGTCCCAGTTTCATACATAGATTTAAAAAAAACAAAAACAGGTTGATTAGAGGTGAGTCACGGCTGGGCCCTAAAGAACGGTCACTCGGGTGCGTCGGCGGCTGTGGCCGGCCCTCGCCTCAGCGTCACAGGAGAAAGAAAGAGCTTCTCTGGAGCTGGACCCAGCATGGACCCAGGTCCAGCCCGCTTGTATCTAAGGAACAGGAGGGCAGGGCCCCGGAGGTGGCAGTCGGTGGGGACAGTGGGGAGCGAGGGCTGTGCTGGGGGCACGTCCTGAACTGGAAGTTCACAAATAGACGCTTCACTTCAGGCCCACACAAAATTCTTTATGGAAGCCGTCCTCTTCAGAACTCGGGCGTTCTGATTTTCCTCTGTAAAGATGGTCAGTCCCAAGGAGGAACACACGTGTGTGTGTGTGTGTGTGTGTGTGTGTGTGTGTGTGTGTGTGTGTCCACTGCCCCGCCCAGAGCATGGCGTGGTGCAAGAGAGACCGGGAAGGTTTAGTTTCCTCCATCTGCTCCCTTAAAAATTCCTTCTGCAGCCATGATTACTAAAACAAAATGCAAAGCCCACTACCAGCTACAAGCAAGCTAATGATCCAGATTCACGAAGCTCCGCTTTAAGATAGCCACTTAAAGTAGCAGTCAGAAGATACCTCTCCTACCTTCCGACATCTTGAGTCACTGCCACCACCAGGAAGCACAAACGCCACACCTTGGGCCCTGGCTGGGTAACGGGGTATGTGGGGGGAGGGGAGAGAGAGGGTATTAGAGCATCATGGGCCGGGGGTGAGGAAGAGTGGTCAAGGTCACAGTCAAGGTCATCCAGGGGCCACAGGGACAGTCCCAGTGAATCCCCTGTACCACTTACCCATGCTAAGAACAAGGCAGAAGGCAAAGGGAGCTAAAGGGGACAGAGCTGTCCCTATGACAACGTAGCATTAATGTTGCTAATAAACATTTTGGAAGTCAGAATCTCGTTTTCCTCCAAACCATATTTTGATATTTTTTAATCACGGTATAATATTGCTGCTGTGTTGGGTGAAGTGTTTAGAAGTACACAAGGAGTATGTGCCTTCTTTATATGATTAATACCACCCGATCCTTGGTTAAGATATTTATAAATGATCCTGGCGCCGCTCCAGCCTGTGCTACACACTAAATTTAGTACGCAGCTCACTTGTAGCAGAGTAAGGGAGGCAGTAGCAGGTAGGTACATCATACCACACATTCTTTTACTACTAAGTGAGTAAATCATAATTGTTCATAACCACTGAACGTTTGTAAACTTTCAGTACAAACCATTTGAAGTCAGATGTATTATTTAAAGTTTCTCTATTTTTCCCCCAGTAGCCTCTTCGAAACAGCTCACCAAGTCAGATTTTCAGTTAACATATTGTCGGGGGAGACTGGTGGGGGGGTGGCATGGTTTGAGCATCCGATTTCTGAATATTTAAAAACGAAGATGAAATGTGCAAATGCAATATAGAAACAATTGTGTCTTAAGCCAGAAGTTTAGAAACCCTGTGTTCATGCGCGTCTAGATTCGCTTGTTTAACAAGAATTTACACCCCCCCCCTAGAATTCGGTGCTGCTTTTTTTTTTTTTTTAAGGAAAAGACACTTTGCTGGCTATGTGTGTTTGTGTGCATGTCAGAGAGAGAGAGTCCTCTGTGCTTTTAAGAATTCCAGTGCTTTAACGTCTGTGTTGTTGGTGGTTATGGAATAAATCACTTTGGTACATACGTTATGTGCTGTCCTCTGAGGTGGAGTGGGGCGTTCTTTCCACGCTGTGCTTTGAGGCTGCCCACCGTTCCTCTCCCTGATGTGTTTTGCAGTGTCCATCTATGGAATCTGGTTCTATGATAAGGAAGAGTGCCAGAGGATTGCGGAGCTCATGAAAAAGTGAGTGAGGACGAGGAGGCCCAGGCCTGCTGCCCGTCTGCTCCCTCCCAGGCCGCCCCTGCTCCCCCGCACCCCAGAGTGCTCTGCTCTTCTGTTCACAGTCAGCATTAGGGGCCCATAGTCTCTCCTTTCCATCTGGAGGTATGGGAGTTCATGTCTGCTCAGGGATACTCTGGGTTCCTGTCTACTCGGGTCAGCAGCCACTCCAGGTCTCCCTCTCCCTCCTCTTGTAAGTCTTGTTCTTTCCATCTCACGATGCCTTGTGGGGTTCCCGCACTGCATTCTGGGAACTCTCAGCTCCCCACCTGATCACACGCCCCACCCCACCCCTGGCCTCTCTGGTGACACAGGCAGGAGGCCCCGCCCACTGGCCCTCTTGAGCCCCTGGCCCTGCTCACCACAATGGGTTTCTGGGAGGTGGATGAAGGTCTGCCTGGCCTGGAACCTGGGACTCAGCGCGGCGGCTGCCCACAGGGGTGACCTGCACCTCCAGATTCCACCTCAACCCCGGTGCTGTGGACCGGCCAGAGGGAGCCTGTGGAAACGAGCAGCCTGGGGGGGGGTGCCTTTTTGTAAATAAAATTTGATTCCTGAAGATGTTGCATGTGAGAGCTAATTTTAGGTAAGTAGCTCAAGTTGCAGATGGTGATTAAGTTTTGTTCAGACTGGTGTTTACCGCCAGGCAGCTCGTCCCTGGAACACTCGTTATTGTAAACGTGCCCCGGACAATAATAGCCAGATTCCAGATAGATGAAAAGCATCCCGAGGCCGAGCCACGAGGCTGTGGGAGTCACAGCCCTTGGGTGGCCAGAGGCTGGGAGCTGGGCAGGCAGGGCCCGGAAGAGCCTCGGGGGGCAGAACCCCTCCCAGCCGTCCCATAGGGGAGCGCCTGGCATGGCTCTACCCGGCAGCTTACGTACTGCCAGTGCTCAGTTCTGCCTTTTGAGCCCCGCCCTCCGCCCCGTTTGTGCCTTCATTAGTCTTCAGACGGGCCCCAGCGCGCCCCCCGCCCCCCGCCCTCGTCCTTGCTCATCCAGCCCAGGCATCGCCAGCTCTGCCCGGGGGGGGGAGGGCGGGGGGAGGAGGCAAACTCCAGTCCTCGGACCTCCACCTCCCGTGGCTGTCGGGGTGCGGGTCATGCTGAGTTAGGGTGAGCGCTTTGCTGTTTCCACCTTAGGTGGGGACAGGTAGGAAGCAGCGCCATGCACCATGCTGCCTTGTCAGCGAGCGAGCAGACAAGACGCAGGCGTTGCTTCTACAGGGGGCAGAGCTGTGCCATGTGGGGCACAGGTGCCCGCAGCCCCGCTCACACCACCACGCACTCGTATCTGTAAATAACCGCTGGGTGAGCTTGGCGGGCGGGCGGGCAGGAGCCACCGGCGCCGACCTGGCTCTCTGGGCCTTCCCCCTTCCCTCTTCTAGCCTGACTCAGTCTGAACAGCTGTGCCCTCTTCCCCTCTCCCCCTTCCCCCTTCTAGCCTGACTCAGTCGGAGCAGTTGCGTGCTGGCGCCGGCATCCCCCCCATCATGCTCAGCGCAGGTGAGGGCCAAGAGGCGGACATCCTCCGCATGCTCACCAAGGCCAGGGACGAGTACACCAAGGGGGGTCCACGCGGGGCACTACCCAGGGAGGAGCACGCGAAGGTGAGTCGCGCTGTGGGCCAGGCCTCGCTGCTGACGTCTGTCCATACGACAGCCCTGGAAATGCTTTAAGGCACTGAATTGTGCAAGTTTGGAGCTCATGGCGCTGGAGTCGAAGGGAGGAAACCCGTCGAGACAGCGTCTGCCAGCCAGACGGCTCGTACCCCACAGCACACCTTTCTCTCTTCCAGTGTCAGACCTGTTCTGAGCCCAAACAGATAGCCAGCTCCTCTGCCATCCATGACAACCCCAACCTGATCAAGCCCATCCCCGTGAAGCCCGGGGACGGCCACCCGCAGAGCGGGCCTCAGTGCAGCCAGGTGCGCGCCCGGGGCGGGTCAGGAGGGGAGGGAGAGAGACAAAGTACCTGTCCAGGCCAAGGCAGATTGCATGCGGCGAGGGGTTTGGGGGTGCTCCTAGGGCTCAAATGCAGAGGTCTGCACTAGCCAAACAGGTGCTCTGCCACTTCACAACACGCCCAGACCTTTGTGCTTCAATATCTTTTGTCAAACAGTCTTAAGCTTTTATCTGGGTTAGACTGGAATTCTCCTTATCCAACTGGAGTTACTGTGGTATACAGGGGACGTGCTTGTGTGATTCTGTGAAAAGCCACCAGAACCCTGTGAAGGCCTCAGGCCCAGTTCTCAAAGAGGTGGCTTATCTCTCCACGTCTGTAACTCTGCCTGCGCATGCCCCATCCTGGGACCCGGGCCCCGGGCCCACGAGTCCCTCCGGCCAGTTGGTCAATCCTAATACGTGTCAGCTCTCCTGAGAGAAGCCTCCGATTGTTCTAGCTAGCTCCCAGTATTTCTCGTGGTCCCCCAAAGCCCCCACGTGGATAAGACTGAGTTGTCAGGGCAGCCACACCCACACTGCACGCGGCACGGACTCCCATGTCTTCATTTCCTCCAGGCCTCGGACTCTGAGCCCCAGCACCTGTCCTTGACCACTCTGTTTGGGAAGCCTGGCGGAGCGCCCTGCCCCAGAGCCACGGAGTCCCCACAGCTGCAGACAACACCCCCGGGCCGGCAGGGGACCCCCGTGGCCAGGCTCTGCCCAGCAATTCAGAAACTCATGGTCGGGAGCACGGAGCTACGCCCGCTGGCCGAGCTCCGGGAAGGGCATCCCTGTGGCGCCCACCCTGTGGGGGACCTGGCCCCCCGCCCAGTCCCCCCGGGCTCGCCCCGCCACACACACAGGACTTCCAGACCCCAGAGCCTGCTGGAGACGCTGCAGGGGGCCCCTGACCCCTCCACCCCCACTCTCCCCAGCCCCGCCGCCCAGCTTCCCCTCCCGCCCCCTCCCCGAGGCCCTCGGGAGGGGAGCCCAGCGCCCCAGCCAGGCAGCCCCGGAGCTCTGCCCCCACGGGAGCTGCTGAGAAAGCTCCAGGCCGTGCAGCAGCAGCAGGAGCTCCAGGTGGGCCCGAGGCCGGCGCTGGCCGCCAGGTTCCCAGTGGTGGCCCAGAGCTCCGGGACGGGGACACCCTGGAAGAAGCCAGCTGCTCTCATGCAGGTAAGCACCTGCCCGTCCAGAGACGAACCGGGCTGGCTGTGGTGCAGCCACATTTACAGCCGGCTCCAGACAGGCAGCGCCCCTCCCCGACCCCCTCCAGAGAGCAGAGGGAGAGCTTCCTCCGGTCTGTGGGAAGGTCTTAAGACCAGCACAGACCTGGGGGCCGCGGATGCGATCCCCCCCTTGACTGTGGGCTGGTTGGTTTAGAGACTGGTTGAGGCGTTCTGTGACATGAGGCCCGCGTGGGCCCTCAGAGCCCGCAGTCCTGCAGGCACTCAGCCCACCCGGGCAGGAGCCACGCTGGATGCCCCGGCCTACGGGCCGGGGAGCACTGCCCAGGGAGGAGCGAGCGGGCTGCTGCCTCCACAGAGGCTCGGGAGGAGCAGGCGTGCCTCTGGCCTCCCTGAGCACTAGCTGCGGGAAGGGGGCAGATTCTAGGAGAGGGGTCCCCAAGTCCGTTGGTAGCTGGAAACGGAGGGATCCGGGGCTGGGAAGGTGGCTCAGTGGTAGAGCGCTGGCCTTGCGTGCCTGAGGCCCTGGGTTCGATTCCTCAGCACCACATAAGCAAAAAGCCGGAAGTGGCGCTGTGGCTCAAGTGGTAGAGCGCTAGCCTTGAGCTGAAGGCTGAGGGACAGCGCCCAGGCCCAGAGTTCAGGCCCCATGACCGGATCCAAAAAAAAAAACAAAACCAGAAGCGGAGGGATCCGCTCAGTCCACATCTGTCCCCTGTGACACCCACTGGGAGCACGCTGGTGTCAGTGGCGCGTGTGCTGGGGCTTGGCCTGCTCCGTTGGGCAGCCTCCTGTCCCTGGGACGTGGCCCGGGCCGGCTGCCCTCTCCCCGAGGACGTGTCTGCAGCCCGCCCTCCTCTCAGTGCTTGGTGTCCACTTTGCAAACACCTGCTCCTTTTTCTATTTGCTGCCTTAGAATTCGAGAATTGGGGTGAGCAACCTGACGTGAATTCCTGCCTAATTCCTTTTCCTTTCAGCGTTGACAAATGTCAGGGGGCAGATGAGGGAAGTGCGTGTGCACCCCACACTGGGCTCCCCACACTGGGCTCCCCACGCCGGGCTCCCCACACCGGGCTCCCCACGCCGGGCTCCCCACACCGGGCTCCCCACGCCGGGCTCCCCACACCGGGCTCCCCACGCTGGGCTCCCCACACCGGGCTCCCCACGCTGGGCTCCCCACACTGGGCTCCCCACACCGGGCTCCCCACACTGGGCTCCCCACGCCAGGCTCCCCACGCTGGGCTCCCCACACTGGGCTCCCCACACCGGGCTCCCCACACTGGGCTCCCCACGCCGGGCTCCCCACGCTGGGCTCCCCACGCTGGGCTCCCCACACTGGGCTCCCCACACTGGGCTCCCCACGCCGGGCTCCCCACACTGGGCTCCCCACGCTGGGCTCCCCACGCCGGGCTCCCCACGCTGGGCTCCCCACACTGGGCTCCCCATGCCAGGCACCCCACACTGGGCTCCCCACAGCCCCCCCCAAGTGCCCACAGGAGCAGACAGCTCCCTCCTCCCAGGCACTTTGCCCCGGAGATGCCACAGCCATGATGCTACACTGCCGCCCACCCAAACCCAAGTTCCCTGTGTTCTTGGGGTACCAGAAGGCTGGGAAGTGCCTCGCTCTGCTCCCAAGCCAGACACGCGCACCAGCCCTCAGGGACAGGCGCGCCATGGCATGGCTGTGTCAGGTCCATCAGCTAAGCGAGTAGACAGCCCAGAAGTACCTGCTCCCCACAGGCAGGGCCTCTGAGGACAGGGTCAGAGAGGGGTGCCCCGCAAGTCACCCACGAGAGCCGCCCTGCCCACGGGGCGCAGGTCAGGACCATGGGCAGCCAGGCTGAGTGGGGGCGGCAGGCCTACACGCTGAACAGTAAGGGAAATAGCCTGAAAAGGCCCTGCCCATTGCTCATGCTGGGCCTGCACAGCCAGAGCAGTCTGCGCAGAGGTGCTCAGCGAAGACGTGGGGTGGAGCGGGCCCCGCGGCCCGCGGGCCCCTCCGCCAGGACAGCAGCTCGGCCAGGCCTGGAGGCGGCGCCCGTGGGGCCTGGCAGTGCAGACTTGTGGCTCGGGTGGCGCGTGGGTTCCTCAACCCCACCCATCTGCCATGCACAGGCCACTTCGCCCCAGCACATCACAGCAGGAGCGGCCCACGCCCTGCTCATGTCGCCCACCGCCTCCACCCAGGCCCCGGCCAGCGACAGAGAGGGATGCCAGGAAGCCCCCGGCCTGCTGCTGCCCCTGCGGATCCCCGAGCGGCCCTCACTGGGGGCCCCGGGCCCTCTCAGCAGGCCGCAGCTCCAGGAAGCACTGCTGTACCTCGTCCAGGTAAGCGGCGGCTGCCGAGCTCGGTGCGGGAGACCACAGTGAGAATACCCACTGCCCTCCAGCCTGTCCGGGGCCAAGCCCGCACCTGTCAGGAGGCCAGGGCCATCCTGGGCCAGTGACACCCAGAGCTCCAGCAGACAGAGCAGGTCACAGTGGGCAGGGAGGCAAGCGCCGGCCATGTGTGCCACAGCACAGCCACAAACGGTTCCGAAGCTGGCCACGAGCCGGCCGTGTGTGCCACAGCACAGCCACAAACGGTTCCGAAGCTGGCCACGAGCCGGCTGTGTGTACCACAGCACAGCCACAAACAGTTCTGAAGCTGGCCACGAGCCGGCCGTGTGTGCCACAGCACAGCCACAAACGGTTCCAAAGCTGGCCATGAGTTAGGGTGTGTGTGCCACAGCACAGCCACAAACGGTTGTGAAGCTGGCCACGAGCCGGCCATGTGTGCCACGGACACAGCCACAAACGGTTCTGAAGCTGGCCACACAGCCAGCGAGTGTGCCACAGCACAGCCACAAATAGGTCTGAAGCAAGCCTCGCAGCATCTGTGCGCTGCACAGGTGACACCCCCACCCCTGTTGGCAAGCCCCCTCCCCACGGGCAACCTGCCCCACCCTCGCCCCCTGCCCACCCCCAGGCGGGGGCTCTGTCCCCACACACTGGAGGTCACAGGCTCCAGCCCCCTGCGGGCAGTCACAGGTCCCGGCTTCCCTGTTGGTTTCCAGAACGACGACAGCTTCCTGAACATGATCTATGAAGCCTATCTCTTCAGCATGGCGCAGGCCGCCTTGCGGGGACCCACGTGAGCCGCGGCAGCCGTGTCCTGAGACCCGTCCCTCCCAGGGATGCGCCGCTGCCATGTGTTTCCGCCGGCCGGAGCCCGGTGCTGCACAGTAAAGGGTTTGTGTGGTTGAGCTCCTGTGGTTGGCCCTGTGTGAGAACCCCTGGCACCCGCGCCGTAGCTCCAGACTCGGGGAGGCCTCCGTCCAGGCCACGCAGCAGATGCCGAGCTCAAACACACCCACGGTGCCAGGCTAGGAAGGAAACCGCTCCTTTCTCTTTCCATAATCTCCTTGGTTCTCACCCAAGCCAGGGCACCGGCCAGCCACCAGGGGGCAGTGTCCACCACGGTTACCCGTGGGAGTGAGGAGAACACTTCCCAGGCCACCCATGGTCATAGTCCATCTGCTGTGCTTGCCTGGCCCCGAGGTGTCCACACCACGTCTGTGCATGGCCGTGGCCTGCCTGGTCCTGACGTGTCCACGCGGTGGACAGCTCTCATGTCCTCCGGGCGGGGGGTGACATGGGGACTATGGAAGGCCAGGACCTGGGTCAGCAGCACCTGTTCTGAGCCTCGCAGGGGAGGTGGTGACCTCGGGGGCAGAGGATGAGATTTTCTGCTGCCCAGGCCTGAAGGGCGCATGGGGCCCCATGTTCCTTCATCCCCATTTGTTCTGCAGACAAGTGTTCTTACTCTGGGGCCCCCAGGGGCCGGCTTCCTCACACCCTGAGGCTTTGGGCCTTTGCGGGGACCATGAGGCTCCTCCCCAGCTCTGAGGAGAGGCGGGGCGGGCTCCATCTCCTACAGCCGCCACCAAGTGACAAACCTTGGAGACCTAACCTGCAGAAGGCCAGTGGCACAGGAGAACCGGGAGGGCCGGGCTGTCATCCCAGCTACTCAGGAGGCTGAGATCTGAGGATCATAGTTCAATCCAGCCTGGGCAGGAAAGTCCCTGAGACTCTTATTTTCAGTAAGCCACTAAAAAAAGTGGAAAGTGAGGCTGTGGCTCAAGTGGTAGAGCACCAGCCTTGAGCAAAACTGAAGGACAAAACCCAGGTCCTGGGTTCAAGCCCTAGGACCAAACACAGACATGCATGCATGCACACATAAGCACACGCATGCATGTGCACACGCACATGGCAGATGGCCCTGGGCGGTGTGCTGCGTGGCCTTGGCCCCGCATGTCTGACCACAGTTAAAAGTATCCGTGATCTAACCACCGCAGCCTTAAAAAAACAACTCAAAATGCAATAAACAGCTTTGAAGGTGTGACGTGTCTCCATTGCCAGTTGGTTTGCAGCAGGGAATCGTGGGTAGAGCTCATGGGCTGTTCCTTCTGCGTGGAACGGCCGGGTAGTGGCCCTCAGACACCAACCTCTGGAAGCATGGGGCTTCCTCCCTCAGACCAGCGCCAACCTCGTCCTCCATCGCAGTAAATCACTGGAAACGGCCTGCCAGATCCAGGTAGACCAGAGGTCCAGGTGCCCTTCCCAGTGCGGACTCATTCTCCCGTGGCGGCCGGGGCGTGGCGACGCGCCCTGGTGGGTGCACCCACGTCCTCGGGTGATGAGGCCCCAGAGCCGGCCCTACCCGAGGACCGAGGCACGCGGCCGGCCCACACAGCTGTCAGCCAGGTCCCTGCGCCGTCGCCCCCCACGCATGGCGACATCAGGTCTGGCCAGGCAGGTGGGGTGTGCACAAGTGGTGGCCAGTCACGGCCCAACTCTGCTTTGGCCCCGTCCTGGCTGAGAGGATGCTCTGTGGCTGCGAACACCGCGTGGTGCGGCCTCTTTAAAGCAGAGGCCATGCTGGCCGAAGAGAGCCAGGCGCTGCCTAATCCACCCAGATTAGAGGAGAGGCAGAGGGATTAGAGGGGCAGGATCCATCCAACCCCTCAGAGGCCACCCAGCAGGACGGCCCCCCTCTAGCCACGGGGACCCTGAGGCCCAGCCTGGCGTGCACACACTCATGGGCCTCCGCTCTGTCCCCGCGTGCGGCCTCGAGCGCCTCCCGAGCCCCGGCTGCCCGCTGGGCCCTGGCAGGGGCCGTAGCCCTCCTGGGCCCGGGGCCCTCCTATGGAAGACGGTCCTGGTGCTGTGGTTGCTGTCCAGCTCCGCCCTGACCCCCGCACGGGGCCAGGCCAAGATTCCTCTGGAAACGTAAGCCATCACCCCGCACCCCGCTCCCCACACCCCACCTCTGCTCCCCGCCCACCCCCCACCGCCAGGCCAGCGGGCCAGGATGGCTGTCCTGTGGGGATCATCTGGCCCCGGCTGCTGCCGATGGCTCCCTCGGAAATGTATAATCCACACTGCCACCCAACCCTCCTTCCAGACTGTTCTGCCTCCTTACCGGCCACATTCCCTCTCTGGCCAGTGCCACCGGGCAGGAGAGGTGCGGCCTCTCGGGGCTTCTCCTCCAGCCTAGGCCCTGTGATCATGCCAGCCCCCTCCGCCCAGCCCCACGGTCGGGCCCACAGGGCAGCGTGGCTGTCCGTCACATGGGGCTCAGTGACGCCCCCCTCAGTGGCCGGGGCCCTGGCTCCTGCTGGTGTTGAGGAAGTGGAGGAGAGGGGCAGTCGGTGGAAGTGCAGTGAGCCCCGCCTGGGCCCAGCAGCCTGGCCCCCCCTGAGCCAGGGCGGCACACAGCCCAGGCGGCGTGGAAGGCGAGGGTGAGAGCGGCCTGCGTTCCAGGGCGCTGGGCAAGGAGCAGAAGGCTGGGCCCAGAGGCAGCAGCCACTGGGGCAGGAGGACGGGAGTTCAAGGGCAGCCTGGGGCAAAGTGAAGGAGACCCTGTCTCACACACGTGGCCCCAGGGGTGCTCAGTAGCAGGGTGCCAGACAGAAGGGGAAAGAGCAGAGCGGAGCCCCCGCCTCCTGGTCTCCCTGAGAACCCGCATGACCTTTGCCCCCGACCTTCCGCAGCATCCGTGTCGTTTGACGCTGCCAGGAAATCCGTGGCCAGCATCACCTCCCCCGTGACAGCCCGACCGCCCCCCCACAGCCTCTCGTGGGCCCTGGGCTCCCAGCCCCCCTCCAGCCCTCCCTCCCTGCTCGCCCCTCACACGGGTGCAGCTGATTCCCTGGCATGGAGTAAGACCCCCCACGATCGCCAGCTGCACGGCCGAGGGGCCGACCTGGTGGGCACACAGGCGAATGGCCGCGCTCCCTCCGGGGCCTCCGTCAGCTGCCTGCTGGGGGCAGTTCTTCTCCCACCACCACGAGTGCCCGAAGTCACCACCAAGCCCTCCCCAACCCCAGGCCACCTGACCCTGGGCTTCCATTGCTGTCCCAGTGACCTTGAACCCCCAATCCCAGTGACCTTCAACCTCTATCCAAGTGACCTTGAACCTCTTTTCCAGTGACCTTGAACCCTCAGTTTTGGTGACATTAAACCCTCAGTCCCAGTGACCCTGAACCCTCTGTCCTGATGACCTTGAGTCCGTAGTCCTGATGACTTTGAACTCTCAGTCCTAATGACCTTCAACCTCTATCCCAGTGACCTTGAACCCTCTGCCCTGATCATGAACCCTCAGTCCCGGTCACTTTGAACCTTCAGTCCCAATGACCTTGACTTTTCTGTCCCAATGACCTTGAATCCTCTGTTCTGGTGACCTTGAATCCTTAGTCCTGAGGACTTTGAACTCTTAGTCCCAGTGACATTGAAGCCCCAGCACCAGTGACCTTGAAGCCCAGCCCCAGTGACCTTGAGCCCTCTGTCCTGATGACCTTGAATCCTTAGTCCTGATGACTTCGAACTCTCAGCCCCAGTGACCTTCAACATCTATCTGAGCTTGAACCTTTTTCCCAGTGACCTTGAGTCCTTTGTCCTGATGTTCTTGAATCGTCTGTCCTGATGACCTTGGACTCTCAGTCCTGGTGACCTTGAACCTTCTGTCCCAGTGACCTTGAACAGGTTACCAGTTAATGACCGCTTATTTGGCCCAAAGCTCTCCTCTCATTCTTGGGGTTGTCCCCACCCTGGCTGCCCTGCCCGCCTCCTGCACCCCACCATCCTGCCCTGTGCCCCCTCTCTCTCCTGGAGCAAAGCTGAGTTCCTGAGCTTGGCCCTGGCCTTTGGTTCAGGGCCCTGGGCAGGGGGCTGCCCCGCCCCACGCTGCCCTGCCGCCCCCTGCCTGGCCCTGCGGGGAAGCCGCTCAGGCCCGTGTGCCCGTGTGTAGGCCCGTGCTCGCAGTAGGGAGGGACACATGTGCATGCCCGTGCTCACATGGGTCACGCGTGCACGCCAGTGCCCCTGTGTGGGTCGCGTGTGCGTGCCTGTGAGCTCGCCCCATGGTCCCGCAGGGTGAAGCTGTGGGCTGACACCTTCGGCGAGGACCTGTACCGCACAGTGACTAAATACTCCGGCTCCCTCCTGTTGCAGAAGGTCGGTGACCCCTGGGGACGTGCTCAGGTGGCCGCTGGGGCCTCCTTCCTGGCAGGAAAGCAGGGCCCCCCATCAGGGCCGTAAGGGGAAACAGGGCCAAGGAGGCGAAAGCTACGCCATGCCCCCAGACAGCACGGGGGTGTGCCAGAGCAGAACAGCAGCTGCGGCGGGGACTGGGGAAGACGGGAAGGGCGGGCTGGGGGAGGGAGGAGGGCAGGAGGCCCCCATGGAGCCCCAGGGTGGCTGGCCTGCAGCCCCTCGCAGGTGGCTGTGGCCACATGCAGAGCTCCGGTGCCACGCGGCCCTGGCAGGCGCAGGGCTGAGCGGCGGCACCCACTGCTGCACGCCTTGATGGATGAGGCACTTTCCACACAGATGGACGTACCCCCTCCTCCATCCAGCCTCCAGGACCGTTATCCCAGCCCCGGCACCAGGCAGGGGGCAGTGGGGCTTTGGCATCTGGGCTATGGGTCACCCACAGGCCTCCACACCCCTCCCACAGCCCCGCTCCCCGGACAGCCCCCCACCCCAGCAGGGCCCCAGGTTTCCTCAAGCCGGGGTCCGGGCTGTCTGGGCTGTGGCCCCTGGCAGGAGCTGCGTGGGGCCTGAGGAGGGGCAGAGGCATGGGGGGGGAGGCCAGCTCGCCATCACTGGAGGGGCTCTGGGGAGGAGGCCGGGCGTCTCCCGTGTGCCCCGGGCGTGCCCCGGGCCTGGGGCACAGAGCCGAGGCACCTGCTGTACCCCCAACAGCAATACCGGGACGCAGAGCGCAGCCTGAAGATCCAGGAGGTGGACGGTCTGGAGCTAGTGAAGAAGTTCTCCAGAGACATGGAGGCCATGCTGCGGAGGAAAGTGGAGGCCGTGCAGGTGGGGCCGCCACCCCTGCCCCTGCCCTGCCCCTGCCCCCCTCCAGCCCCGGCCCCTACCTCCTCCCGCCCCTCCTCTGACCTGGCCGAGTGGGATTTCGAGGTCACCCCTTCTTTCCCGCCTTAGAGTCTGGTGGAGGCTGCGGAGGAAGCTGACCTGAACCACGAGTTCAATGCGTCCCTGGTGGTAAGTCTTCTTCTCTGGGGCCGGGGTTGGGGGGGCAGAGATGGGGGGAGACCGGGAGCTGGGGACAGGGCCTCGGCTCAGGGGCTTGAACTCACCGTGAAACAGGATGGACAGCGGAGGCCCGGGCCTGCCTGGGTCCCCAGCACGCTGAGGGGACCGACAGAGGCCCCACAGGCCGCTCCCTGATCCCCATCCGTCCTGAGACGGCCAGCCTGTGTCTGCCCGCCGCTCGGGTGGTGACAAGTCACAGTAACCCGAGCCTTACGCCGAGCACTGGTGCCCACACCTGTAACCCTGACGGTCCGGAGGCCCAGGCCTGAGGATGGTGGTTTGAAGCCAGCCAGGGCTGGAAATTCTAATGGTACAGCAGTGGAGCACCAACCTTGAGCGAGACAAGCTCAGAGACAGCGCCCAGGCCCTGAGTTCAAGCCCCAGGACCTGCACAAAATGAACCCCAAACACACCAAGCTCATGCACCCTACGATCCAGTTACCAGAAGAGAGAACGCTGCAGCAGGTGGCTCTGGGGGTACTCACGCCAGCTCGCCCAACTTCACCTTCTCTCTCCCCCTGCCTGGCCTCCGCCCTTCCCCCACCTGTTCTTCCCCGCCCCCCCTCACTTCACCCCTGCCTGTCCCCCCACCCCGGCCGTGTCCCTGGGCCCTGTCCTCAGTTTGACTACTACAACTCGGTCCTGATCAACGAGAGAGACGAGAAAGGCAACTTCGTGGAGCTGGGCGCCGAGTTTGTCCTCGAGTCCAACGCTCACTTCAGCAACCTCAGGGTGAACACCTCGGTCAGCAGCGTGCAGCTGCCCACCAACGTGTACAACAAAGGTGCGTGTGTAACAAGGGTGCGGCCCCATGCCCTGCGGCCCTCCGGAGGCCTCCCTGGGGCCGCCCCACCCATGAGGGTGTACCCATACCCCTTCCCCCTCCCCTCCAGACCCGGACATCCTGAACGGAGTCTACATGTCGGAGGCCCTGAACCCCGTGTTCGTGGAGAACTTCCAGAGGGACCCCACACTCACCTGGCAGTACTTCGGCAGTGCCACAGGGTTCTTCCGGATCTACCCGGGTGAGCGGCCGGCCCCGGGGAAGGAGCGGTTGGAGAGGGACGGGTCAGTCCCCAATCCCCACCAGAGTGTACCCAGCCCTCGCCAATGTCCACGCTCAAGTCAGTAAAGATCCGCAGAACAAACCAGTGAACGGAGGAAACAACTGTGATTCCCCAAGGCCCTGAGGACAGGCCCGCCCCACCACACACAGACAGCGGCAAGGAGTCTCAAGAACTTGTCAGCCAACACGGACATTAGATAGATGACAGACAGACAGATAGAAGATAGATCCAAATAGATGAATTGATCCATCTACAGAGAGCAGGTTGATACAGGGTAGACTGATAGTTGATAGATTGGTGATAGATAATTGATTGATCTACAGATAGACCCATATAGATAGATAAATAGATAATAGAGGCATATCTAGTAAAAAACAAAAGTGTATACCCTATACATTATATAAATTAATGGGTTTCATTATAGTTCCATACATGCAAATTTGAGTATATCGGCCTACTGCCTTCTGATGGAGAAGCTGCTTTATTATCTTGTGATTTTTTTTTTTGCCTTCCTGGGGCTTGAACTCAGGGCCTGGGTGCCGTCCCTGAGCTTCTTTTGCTCAATGTTGCCTTCTACCATTTGAGCCACAGCGCCACGTCTGGCTTTCTCTGTGTATGTGGTGCTGAGGAATCGAACCCAGGGCTGCACGCATGCAAGGCGAGCGCTCTACCCCTGAGCCACCTGCCCAGCCCTGCTTATTGTCTTACTGAGGGTCCTGTATCCACATCAAGTGCTTCTGTCTTCCAAGATCCCTTTGCCTTGTGTGTCTGGAAGTGCCTTAGCATTGTCTCTCCTTCACATCCACCTCATTCCAGCGTTTGCTGGACACTTTGGGCATTTGTAGCCAGGGACTCCATCCGGGCCGTTAAGACATCAAGCGCGGCCTCTGCCCATCTCTCTTCCGCTTCTCTCCCCGGGCTCCTGGAGCACGGATGTTGGTGCACATGGTGACAGCCCCCAGGCTCCGTCCGTCTTCTGCCATCGTCCTTTCTGTCCCTCAGGCTCAGGCAGGCGCAGCCCTTGCACTGGTGCCCCTGACGCGCTTTCCTTCCTCCGAATCCTTCTAGCGACGTTTCATTTCAGTTACTGAGTTTCCAGCTGGCGTCTCTCGTGTCTGTCCCTGCGGGAGCCCGTCCCCCTTCCCATGGCTGCGTTCCTCCCTCCAGCCAGCTCCCGTGTTTAGGGATAACTTGGCTGTGTGGGTGGCTTTATTGATGCCCCCGATGGGCATGCTAATCGTGTGGCGGTCCTTCTGGAGTCAGACTTTCTCCGGAACTATGTTGCTGTGCTTGGGTGGGGTCTGGTTCTGGTTTTATAGTGTCCACATTGAAGGTCATCCTGAATTGTTGGTTTTCCCGGCTTCTCTGGCCTTCTGAGACTCTTCTTGTCCTCACAGGGCCCCCGCAGGTGCAGCTGTTCCTCGGTGTACGTGTCTTCAATGCCTGGCTCCCAGAGGGAGAAGAGAAAGGGGGAGACAGGGACCTTGGCCCCTGCCACCTCCAGAAATTACTTCAGTTAGGGGCCCCAACCCAATGATCTAACCTCCTCCCACTGGGTCCCACCCCCAGTGACCTAACTTCCTCCCGTGAAGCCACACCCCCAGTGACCTAACTTCCTCCCATGAAGCCACACCCCCCGTGGGTCCTCTATCAGCCAATAGCACCCTAAGTTGAGAAGCCATTTTGCATCCACCTATTTATTGTGCACTCCTAGTCTATATTTTGTACCTGGCCATAACAACCTGGACATTGGCACTGGCGTCATGGCTCAAATAGTAAAGCACTAGCTATGAGAGAAAAAGAAATCTGAGTACAAGGGCCCAAGTCACACACACACACACACACACACACACACACACACACCCGTGAGCATTGTGACTGATACACACCAGCCAGCCAGCAATGGGGAGAGGATTAGGGTCCAGGTTGACACCAACTCGAAGGCGATCAGAACCGGAAGGGCAGGAGGCGTGGCTGGAGCAGCAGTGGGCGCTCCCCAGCGCTGCCCCTGGGTGGTCTGTCTGTGAATCTGGTCTTGCTCCTCCCCCTCGGCCCTGGGGGTCATGATGACGGGAGGGCCGATGGGCTGGAGTAGAACCTGTCTGCATCCGCTTCCCGCAGGTATAAAATGGACGCCTGATGAGAACGGAGTCATTGCCTTCGACTGCCGGAACCGAGGCTGGTGAGCGCTCGCAGGGCCCATCCGACGGCCTTGGGGTCTGCGTGGCCCCAACACCTCCGTCCCTCTCCTTCCTGCTCCTGACCCTGGGCGAGGGAAATTGGCCCTGCACCACGCCATCCCTCCAGGTGGGCCCGTGCCCGGCCACGCCGCCCAGAGCAGCTCCAGGCGCCGACCGCCAAGGCACGCGAGCCTGGCACCCCTCAGGCGCCCTGAGCTTCCCCGCTCCGGGCCAGAGTCCAGACAGGAACAACCGGGGCCCTGGGTTAGGTGGCTGTCCCCGCTCTGGTCTTCCTCCTCCCTCCCTCCCTTCTCTCTTCCCTCCCTCCCTTCTCTGCGCCTTCCTCCCTCCCTTCCTTCCTTCCTTCTTCCCTCCTCCCCTCTGGTGGTCTTGGGGTTTGTAGGCAGGGCTTGGACAGGCCTCGCTCTCTCCCTCTCTTTCTCTCTCTCTCTCCCTCTCCCCTTCCCTCTCTCTCCCTCTTTCTCCCTCTCCTCTTTCCCTCTCCCTTTCCCCCTCTCTCTCCTCTCTCTCTCCCTCTCCCCCTCCCCCCTCAGGTACATACAGGCGGCCACCTCCCCCAAGGACCTGGTGGTGCTGGTGGACGTGAGCGGCAGCATGAAGGGGCTGAGGCTGGCCATTGCCAAGCACACGGTCACCACCATCCTGGACACGCTGGGCGAGAATGACTTCCTCAACATCATCGCGGTGACTGCTGGCTCTGGCTCCCTGGCCTCCCCCCACCCTCCAGCCTGCCCTCCTCCCTGCCCTCC